AAGAATAAATCAACAGTATAAATCCTCTTTCTGTGATTATAGTTTCACATCGTCAATATTCCCTCTATTCATAAGCTTGAAATAACTTACTGGAATAATCTTTCATTTCTAAACATAAATGAAATACACATAATATAGTGATCTGTAAATATATTTTGTGTGCTTGGTTTTAGAATACAGCATAATATACTTTATTTTGGAGATTTAATTACAGTAAAAAATTTTTGAATAGATAATATGGTTCAAAATTCAGAAAGTGCAAAAAGTATACAGTGAGAGTTCTTGTCCCTTTCTCCTGCAACCCTAAGGTTCCCTTTGTTGGAGGCAATCAGTATTACGAGTTTCTTGTATATGCTTCTAGACAGTCCTTCTGATTGCAAACAACTGCAAATATCTTCTCCACACCTTTGTTTTTACAAACACTAGCATACTACTCTGCACATTACCATTATAATTGTACTACATTTTTCTCACATCACAGATGCTACAGATTGTTCCCCTAACCTGGAACATTGTGCACAGAGTATATTCAATCATCTTTTATAGCCACAGAGCAGTCCACTGTATGCAACTATCATGATTTATTTAACCAGTCCCTACTAATGGATATTTAGGTGTTTCTAATTTTTAGCTATCACAAACAAGAAGCATTAGTATGCTTTAAAACAAAACAACACAGCCAGGCACAGTGGTTCAGGCCTGTAATCCCAGCAATTTCACAAGCGGAGCCAGGAGGATTGCCTGAGCCTAGGAATTCCAAATCAGCCTGGGCAAATGGCGAAACTCTGTCTTTACAAAAAATAGAAAAAATTAGCCAGGCATGGTGGTGCACAGCTGTAGTCCCAGCTACCTGGGAGGCTGAAGTGAGAGGATCACCTGAGCTTAGGAGGTTGAGGCTACAGTGAGCTGTGACTGCACCACTGCACTCCAGCCTGGGCAACAGAGTGAGACTCTGAATCAAAAAAAAATAAAAATAAACAAAACAACATAACATAAAAACAAAAAACATACCTCAAATTACCAGCTAGGATACTCACGTTTCAGACCCAGATCAATCGCAAAATCGATGTTCAGCTCTCCTGGAAAAGTTCTCATGCATGGGCCTGACCTCTAATCAGTTCACTGCCTTAGCTCAATCTTACAATTTGGTCTACTCCACAAGCTCAATCATTTGGTTAGGTAAACAATGTCTACAGTTTTAACAATTATTTTACTAAAATGCATAATTATGTGATAGTTAAATATATACCAACCTGTTATGTGAGACAAGCTGACCTGTAAGTAATCCAAGGCCAGCGAATCAATTACTGCTTGTACATTGTGTGCATCATCCTCTTGACTCCTAGGAATAGCTATGAGGTCTGTGGGGGAAAAAAAAATCACATAATTTTGTATCCATGAGAGGCCAAGTTTTCATCTCATTGTCTCTCACTAGGCTACTGAATATGCTCAACTGCTATGAAAGCTCTGCCCAAACAGAATATGCTGTAAAGTACAGATTAAAATTAATAAATCCTGAACTCTACACAGCAGAATCTTTATTGGTTATTTATTGATTGAACCGATTTATCAATTTCGGATACTATTTATTACACCATTTATATACACATATATATATGAACATGCTTTACAAGAAGCACCATGTTAAGGAAGATAAAGTGGTCCCTACATTCAAAGAGAGCTAATAGTCTAGTAAGGGAGCCAAGACATGATACTTTAACTCATAACTATGGGCTGCTTTCTACGAGAGGAAAAAAAAAAAAACAACACAGCAAGCACTAGAAGATTATTTTATATATATGTATGTTTGTTTATTTATTTATTGAGACAGGGTCTTGCTCTGTTGCCCAGGCTGGAATGCAGTGGCGTGATCTTGGCTCACTACAACCTCCGCCTCCCCGGCTCAAGCAATTCTCTTGCCTCAGCCTCCCAAGTAGCTGGGATTATAGGCGTGCACCACTATGCCTGGCTAATCTTTGTATTTTTAGCAGAGACGGGGTTTTGCCATGTTGGCCAGGCTGGTCTTGAACTCCTAGCCTCAGGTGATCCACCTGCCTCAAATGACCAGCCTCCCAAAGTGCTGGGATTACAGGCGTGAGCCACCACGCCCGGCCCTTATATGTCCTTTTGAGTAGCCAACTGGAATTACTGGTATAAAGATTTAAAATGTCAGTACAGGCTGGGCATGGTGGCTCATGCCTGTAATCCTATCACTTTGGGAGGCAGACAGGGGAGAATCACTTAAGCTGAGTTGGTACCACCCTGTTCTTGAACATAGTGAGATGGGGAGCAAGATGAAAGGACATATGCGCTTATTAACTGTCTTGGTAAATTAGGTTCATCAAGTACAAATATCAATTCTTACCCCTAACACTGGTTAAGTAACAGGATCTAATAAATTCCCAAGTTCCACTCAATTTTACAACCTTTGAAGGTACATTTTCAGAAAGGATGCAACTTTCACAAGGCATTAGCCATGATTGGATTAACCAGTGATTACCAGGAGCCCTCAAACTGATCTGCTCAAGGCCATTATTGAGTGGATTCCACAGGGTATTCCTTAAGGAATATAATATTATAATTAAACAATACGCAATATTAAATACCATTTAATATACGATATTTAAATATCGTATATTAATATGTAATTTAATATGCAATATTAAAAAATACATAGGCAAAGAGAAAATAAAATGTTATAAATACCAAAGCATCTAACTAAAGGACCAAAAACTTCTGACCTAAGATATAGGCAAAATTACTCCTGCTTTTAGTAGTCTTACCTGGTACCTTTTCTCCCAAAATAGACTGATAAAGGGCAATAAAAACATTAGCATCACAGTCTTGAAGTTCATGTATTCTCAGATGTATATGACACTTAAAAAGAAGGCTATTGGCAATGGTTACCCACTCTGTTGGGAAAAAGGGGGAAAGATCAGTCTTAAATACCACCAGAAAAAAATCACACACCCATTCAAAAAATCCAACAACCTCCCCACCCAGAAAAAAAAAAAGACACTGAACTTTGTAGAAGATAGGGAATTTGATTGTTATAGAATTTCAAAGACCCGTTAGGCATGATTTTTAAAAAGATGTATTTAATTTCTTGGGATGATTTCCAGAGTGCTGTAATTTCTATACAGTCAAAACTATACTGCAAATTCAACTGTTACTGTTGCAGCCTAAAATCTTAAGTTACTTATATAAGCCTTACGTGTGTGTTTTTAGTTAAAACATATTTACAAGTAAACAGGAATATTATGTCATAAGCAACAGTTTAATAATAATCTGAAGTTACTAGACAGTCATTAATAAAATATGTTGCTTCAAACTCCCAACAGTATTGATCATGTGTTTACCCAATTATCTTGTGCAAGTCAGGATTTCTCTGGTGCCCAAATAAGTGGTGATTAAACTTAGGCTGTTAAGAACTGGCATAATGACAACATCAACACTAATGCATTTGTTAGTTTTTCTTTTTTATTATATTGATCTACATGAAACAAAATATTGGAAGTACATGAAGCTCAGAATTATCAATACTGTTGACGTTTCCTGCATACCACATTCTCCTCTCCCCTAGATATTGCTGGGATTTGCGAAGTTTAACGGTTTCTCTACCAAAAGCAACTTAGCTTAAAATACTTGTTCCTTGAAATGCCTGACGATTGGTAGGAAAGCACTTGCAATCGATATTAGAAACAAACATCTCCACTATGTTCTGGACACATGACGTTCTGGAAACGAATGAGAGTGTATCTTCCAGGCACATAATCCCCCTCTCCAAGCCCATTTCTCACAACTGGCCAAACCATGACAACTGGTTTGTACGCAGTCCTTGTGAAAAGGATGAAAGCGTCCTAGACAACCAAATTAATTCGCTCTTCAAAAGCGGTGCTAGACAAAGCCCATGACTCTAGAGGGCACTGAAGAGAAAAAAGCACCACTATTCTTCTGTGGCAGGGGCATGAATAAACCTTAAGAGTGCCGTTCCTTTAAAGACCACTACAAAAGGAGGTACGACCTCAGGGCCCATAGTGCAAGGGAGGAGGGCACACGGACAGCGGCCAGACGCCCCACAGAAAGACAAGTCCGAGGACGACCCTTCTGACTGCTCTTTTTGCAGCCAGGACCCGAGCGTCCTACCGGCCTCGCCCCAGTGCCTCTCTCCCACCTCATACTGCTGTTCCACGGCCTCAAAACGAAGAGGGGGTGAAGCTGAGAGACCCTATCCAGAGAACCCGCCACCGCGACGCAGCGTCTGACAGCAACGAGCCCCGCCGACATCCCAGACCCAGTCCGGGCTAGCCCGAGGCCTCCCTGAAGGTGGACAGTTTCAGTAAACACACACTGCGACCCCAGGGAAACACTCACCAGCCTCCGAGCGGGCCATGTCTCAGAAGCAGGTCGCCGCCGGACTCCGACGCGGCCAGACCGGCGACGGTGTCCTGCAAGGACCGAACGCAGACCAGACGCTGGGGGGCGGGCGCACGAACTAAAGCGCGGGGAAGGAGGCGTGAAAGAGGGAGGGACGTTAAAAGAACTTCTCGCCGCTGATTGGTCATCAGAGGAGCACTTCCTTTCACAGCACGTGCCACGGAAGCTGTTTGGGAAGTTTAGAGACCATTCTCCGCCGGCCAAAACCCGTCACAGGATTGTCAGACCCGTGGGTCGGACGGTCCAAGTCAGCCGGCAGCTGGGGGCGGGTCCCGGGTGCTGGCAGCGCACTTCCGGTGAGCTATTTCGTTATGTATCCCTCCGCCGACGTCAACGGGGAAGTAGTGCGGCCCCCTGTCCCGGTGGGCGGTGGGGGGGGGGGGGTAAAGTCACGTGACAACGCCAGGCCCCCGCCTTCCCTCTCATTTGGTTACAGGCGTGAGGGCTCTTTGGAGACGTAAACACCTCCGAGTGGGGAGGGTGGGCGCGCTTGGGCTGGCTGTTTTAACGTCTGGCTGGGCTTGGGAAAGGGCGGGGTGGCTTTCTTGAGGTGTGGAAAGACGAGAAGAAGGTGAGGTCAAGAGAGTGGAGAATGAGGCATTTCAATGGTGGGTGGGCCCTGACCTGAGAGAGCGGCACGGGGTGGGGTGGAAGCGCGGCGATCGCGGAACGCCGTCGGGCGTTGCGGCCTCTGCGCGAGGGGCGGGGCGATTAGGTCATAGAGCGGCTCCCAGCGTGCCTTGCGGCGTAGGAGGAGGTCCAGACTATAAAAGCGGCTGCCGGAAAGCGGCCGGCACCTCATTCATTTCCACCGGTCTCTAGTTGTGCAGCTTTGACTGGTGTCACCGCCGTCACTCCTCCGCTGCCGCCCCCGCAAGGCTTCGCCGTCGCCGAAGCCATTTCCAGCGACTCGTCGCACCCTTTTCTATCTACTTCGTTCCCCGCCAACCGCAACCATTGACGCTATGTCGGGTTATTCGAGTGACCGAGACCGCGGCCGGGATCGAGGGTGAGTGTGGGAGCCCAGTTGTCAGGGCTGGCGGGTGGGGGATGGGAGGGCGGGTCAGGGTGGCGGCGGGCCGGGGCTTTGCGGCTTGGACTCGGCCTTTCCAGGCTATCTTGGGGCCTCCTTTCCCGAAGGCTTGCGCCATTTTGATATTCACGTAACAGTGAGTGGGAGAGATTTGACGGGATAGTGTCTTCATCCTGGCTTTTTGTGTGGGGGTCGGGGAGCCGTCGGGGCGGCTGCCATTTGGTAGCTGTTGAGGGAATTCAGAGGGAGCGCATTGTTCGGATGAAAGCGCGACGCTTCGAGGCAGACGAAGGAACAGCTGTTAGGTGCGGCCTTTCGGGAGGTGTTTTTGGGGTGGTCGGGCATTCTGTGGGAGCTAAGGGACCACCTCCAAAGCCACTGATGCTGTGGGGGTAGGAGGGCGGCCGGCATCAGCCATGTGGCTGAGTCGCGGGTATAAAATGCCGGCCTCGGACATGGCGGCGGCGCCTTTGTTACTCCGCCCGGCGGAGGAGCTCAAAATGGCAGCGTCGAGAAAATGTGGCGCAGAGAGAAATGCGAGACAAAGGGGGAAGCGCCGCCCCAGCGGGAACGCCGCCCGGCCGGCTCCGCCCGGGCCGGGACTCCTCCCCCGGTAGTCGCCGGCTCCTCCTTTTCTTTTTTCCTGCGTTATATAATTTTGATTCGTTGATCCGGAGCTCTACCGCGGCGTCCCCCCAGCTCGGTTTGCTAGCAGAAGTGTTTCTAAACCCTTGTTTCGTTTTCGTTGTCTGTGCTGTCTAGATTGTTAACATCAAAGCTCTTTGGCTTGAAAACGGCCATATGAGTAACATCGTTGTGATGCTCTTCGGTTCATGTAGGCTTGTTATCACTGATAATGAATTGCTAGACTGGTGACAAAAATAATAGTAACCACAAGAAGTGGTGCGTAATCCTAAATTCTGGCATCTGGGTGACAAGTTTTCGATATAGTAAATCCCAGGCTGTTTACGTGGCCTAAGTTGTGTGTACTTGGGACTACGGGAAACGTTAACTGTGGCTGTTGAGAGAGATTATCACTAAGGACAGTGCTAGGTTTACCTCTCGAAGTCGGCTTTCAGTGATCTTTAGCTTGTGCCAAGGGATGGTAAACAAATCTGTCCGGAAACCTAGGTGTAGCCATTTGAAAATGTAAATAACTTTTTTTCTTCATTCCAGGTTTGGTGCACCTCGATTTGGAGGAAGTAGGGCGGGGCCCTTATCTGGAAAGAAGTTTGGAAACCCTGGGGAGAAACTAGTTAAAAAGAAGTGGAATCTTGATGAGCTGCCCAAGTTTGAGAAGAATTTCTATCAAGAGCACCCTGATTTGGCTAGGCGGACAGCAGTGAGTAAATTCATGTGGCTTCATCAGGCTGTAACTCAATGGAGTCTAGTAAATGAAATTCTGACAGGTGTTTTGCAAATAACTCAATTTTGATAGAGTTACGTTTTCTGACCATAATTGGGAAAGGTGTGACTCACTTTTGTAAATAGGTGGCTTTGGGAATTTTTTTTTTTAGGTTGAGTATAGCAGAATAAACGGTTTTTTTGTCATATAGGGTTTTCATACGCGGTTCCAGATTGAAATGAAGCTACTTTAAAGTAGTTACTAAATTATGAAGTTAGGGGCTTGCCAATTACGTATTTAGTTAGGGGTGGTTGTCATGAGCTTTAAGACTGTTATAATTTGTTTTGCAGCAAGAGGTGGAAACATACAGAAGAAGCAAGGAAATTACAGTTAGAGGTCACAACTGCCCGAAGCCAGTTCTAAATTTTTATGAAGCTAATTTCCCTGGTGAGTGCTACTTTTCAGTTCTACCCTACCCCTGTGTTTTTGTTTCCACCTACCTCCTCCTTTCCTTGGCATCACTAATTTTTGTTAAATATCTGTCACTAATTATAGCAAATGTCATGGATGTTATTGCAAGACAGAATTTCACTGAACCCACTGCTATTCAAGCTCAGGGATGGCCAGTTGCTCTAAGTGGATTGGATATGGTTGGAGTGGCACAGACTGGATCTGGGAAAACATTGTCTGTAAGTTTGAGAGAACTCTTGATGTGTAATATATGCGAGAAAACGGAATGGTAATTTAAAAACAAGAGTATTTTAATGTGATTTCTGTTTGTCCCCGTCTTCACCCCAAATAGTATTTGCTTCCTGCCATTGTCCACATCAATCATCAGCCATTCCTAGAGAGAGGCGATGGGCCCATTGTAAGTATATATTTGTAACTTTTTATTAGAAGTGTAATATATAGATTTTTAGACTACATAGCAAAAGATGTAATCATTTGTGGTGGTTTTATACAGAGGTTAGCTCACCCTATTCAGCTGGAGTTGCTTTGGGTATTGGACAACACATGAAGAAAGGATCTGCCATCATAACTAATAAGTTAACAGTTTAAAACTAGTATCCAGGTTTGTGCTGAAAGCTGTTTCTCTTTCCTTAGTGTTTGGTGCTGGCACCAACTCGGGAACTGGCCCAACAGGTGCAGCAAGTAGCTGCTGAATATTGTAGAGCATGTCGCTTGAAGTCTACTTGTATCTATGGTGGTGCTCCCAAGGGACCACAAATACGTGATTTGGAGAGAGGTCTGTAATGAAGAGAGTTTTATTTGTTATTGGTACTAAATATTTTAGGTATTATAGTTACACTTACGTGTTTAATTAAAGGTGTGGAAATCTGTATTGCAACTCCTGGAAGACTGATTGACTTTTTAGAGTGTGGGAAAACCAATCTGAGAAGAACAACCTATCTTGTCCTTGATGAAGCAGACAGAATGCTTGATATGGGTTTTGAACCCCAAATAAGGAAGATTGTGGATCAAATAAGAGTAAGTGTCCTTTGAAATATGTGATCAAATTCAATTCTATTTTCACTTTTAGTCTGACACTAATTTTTCCCCCCAAAATCCATTAGCCTGATAGGCAAACTCTAATGTGGAGTGCGACTTGGCCAAAAGAAGTAAGACAGCTTGCTGAAGATTTCTTGAAAGACTATATCCATATAAACATTGGTGCACTTGAACTGAGTGCAAACCACAACATTCTTCAGATTGTGGATGTGTGTCATGACGTAGAAAAGGATGAAAAGTAAGTTTTATTAACTCTGTTATATTCGCTTCCTAACCTTGCTAAAATTGAGGGATCATTGTTATTTCAGTTGGTGTGATTTCGTTTAGTTAGCCTATTAATCCTTCTGAAAATATCTTGAATTCTTCAAATAATGATTATCACCATTTATAGTTTTCCTATAGAAGGAATTCATGTGTCCCCTGGTTGACGTAAGGACCAAGGGTCGAACTACTACATAAGTGGGTTGGCAGGTGTTTCCTCTTTGACTTCCAGCCATGTAAATTGAACTTAATGTTTTGCTGACCATAAATGTGGGGCCCTACCAATGGTCTTTTAAAACTCAGGATTTTTCCTTTCTCTCTCCCATTATTAGACTTATTCGTTTAATGGAAGAGATAATGAGTGAGAAGGAGAATAAAACCATTGTTTTTGTGGAAACCAAAAGAAGATGTGATGAGCTTACCAGAAAAATGAGGAGAGATGGGTATGTGTGGGCTCCTCCATTGAAGCAGATTTTTTTGTAACTGAGCTTAGGAAAGGGCAAACTTGGATCAGGAGCAGTGGATATCTGATAATATAAGTGAATTTAATTCTTTTTAATTTCTGGTGAAATTAAAGAGATCTGTGACAAGACGTGGTTAAGCACTGGAGTCTGAGGTTTTCAATGTGAGTTTTATGATACAACTTGTCTTTTAGGTGGCCTGCCATGGGTATCCATGGTGACAAGAGTCAACAAGAGCGTGACTGGGTTCTAAATGGTAAATATTTCAAATGAAGTTTTTTTCCCCCCTTACTTAGCTAGAATTCTGCTCAGATAATTGATCGTGTATATGCCTTCCTTTGTAGAATTCAAACATGGAAAAGCTCCTATTCTGATTGCTACAGATGTGGCCTCCAGAGGGCTAGGTTAGTACAAACTCGCATTCATGGCTTGGTTTCCCAGAAGATCTCCATTTAACTTTTTTAAAGAAAGTTTATTGCTTTCTTTAACCTCTGCATTTTTTCTAAGTTTTTTTCACATAAAGGTGCTGTCTTTGTGGCAAGGCCTAGGCATGACAATCGGAGGACTCGAGGGGGATGGAGGACTAGTGATCGGCTGGCTGCTTCCAGTCGATTAGAGAGGTGAAAAAGCTGAACGTGTGCCAGTAATCTTCAAAAGGCAGAACATATCACCTCTGCCCCGTAAACTGTTCTCTCCGAGGGAAAAAATGGAAGTTATCCTCACAGTTCACTGCCGTGGTATTTCTTCTGTCCCATGCTCTGCATGACTGCCATGGTACAGCCTTGTTTCAAACTGTTCACTGTGATCTGTGGGTCTTTGAGTTTCAGTGAGTTTGCTGAAATGTCGAAGAAATATTTCCAAACTTCAATGTTCAATGAAATTTTTGTTCAAGTTTGAAATGGAGAGAGCAGCTTTAAAAGGTACTAAGCCTTTTACAAATTGGTGAGTACTGGCACATGAGATCTAGAGCAGGAGCAACTTCTCACACATAGTCAGTGGGAAAAGAAAGTGCTTTGAAAGTTCCTCCCTCACCTACACAGTAGTCGTCATGTCGAGACCTGCCAGAGAGAGACACATTCTCAAGTGAATCCTGGCTTCTTGGAAGCGCTTGCCTAGACGAGACACAGTGCATAAAAACAACTTTTGGGGGACAGGTATGTTTTCTTGCAGCTGCGGTTGTAAGGTCTTGGCAAGACAAGCAGTGTGGCCAGAAGTTTGAACTTCTGATGAATGTGTAATGCAAAGGACCTTGTACATTTTTTTGTTTCAAGGTCCTCAAAATGAGCACATGAAGAGGTTGCTGTGAAACTTTAAGTGGCCCTACTGCGCAGAAGCATTCAGATGTCACTTGATGATCTGTAAGGGAACTTGCTGATTTGGGAATGTGCTAGGGAATACACATTCCTTTTGACAGGGTCTGTCACTGGGTGGGTGATAACTTATACAGATGACATGTGCTTTTTTTTCTTTTTTCAACCTCAATGGTATTCCTACAGGGAATGGATAACCATTTTAACTGTATTTTTTGCAGCCCGTACCTTCTTGGGAATACAATTGTCTAACTTTTTATTTTTGGTCTGGCTGTTGTGGTGTGCAAAACTCCGTACATTGCTATTTTGCCACACTGCAACACCTTACAGATGTGGAAGATGTGAAATTTGTCATCAATTATGACTACCCTAACTCCTCAGAGGATTATATTCATCGAATTGGAAGAACTGCTCGCAGTACCAAAACAGGCACAGCATACACTTTCTTTACTCCTAATAACATAAAGCAAGTGAGCGACCTTATCTCTGTGCTTCGTGAAGCTAATCAAGCAATTAATCCCAAGTTGCTTCAGTTGGTCGAAGACAGAGGTTCAGGTAAGGATGACTGATAGGAAATGTTGGTAGTTGTGAGTCACATCGTTGTCTACAAATCCATTTAAACGGTATTGGAGGGTGAGTAAAACCTTGAACGGAAAACTTATGTTGAAAAACTGTAAAACCATTTCACGCCTGCAATGAATAGATCTAATTCTTTCTGTCTACAATGATTTGTGTCACAGACATAATTGATCAATTTGCAATTTTTTTTTTTTTTTTAACAGGTCGTTCCAGGGGTAGAGGAGGCATGAAGGATGACCGTCGGGACAGATACTCTGCGGGCAAAAGGGGTGGATTTAATACCTTTAGAGACAGGGAAAATTATGACAGAGGTTACTCTAGCCTGCTAAAAAGAGATTTTGGGGCAAAAACTCAGAATGGTGTTTACAGTGCTGCAAATTACACTAATGGGAGCTTTGGAAGTAATTTTGTGTCTGCTGGTATACAGACCAGTTTTAGGACTGGTAATCCAACAGGGACTTACCAGAATGGTTATGATAGCACTCAGCAATACGGAAGTAATGTTCCAAATATGCACAATGGTATGAACCAACAGGCATATGCGTATCCTGCTACTGCAGCCGCACCTATGATTGGTTATCCAATGCCAACAGGATATTCTCAATAAGACTTTAGAAGTATATGTAAATGTCTGTTTTTCATAATTGCTCTTTATATTGTGTGTTATCTGACAAGATAGTTATTTAAGAAACATGGGAATTGCAGAAATGACTGCAGTGCAGCAGTAATTATGGTGCACTTTTTCGCTATTTAAGTTGGATATTTCTCTACATTCCTGAAACAATTTTTAGGTTTTTTTTGTACTAGAAAATGCAGGCAGTGTTTTCACAAAAGTAAATGTACAGTGATTTGAAATACAATAAATGAAGGCAATGCATGGCCTTCCAATAAAAAATATTTGAAGACTGAATTAAGTGGAAATTGTACTTTATTTTATATATATAATGTCATGTAAAACTTTGCTTAGATGGTCTGGGTTTTTTTTGTTTTGTTTCGTTTTTAATCATGAAAACAAATGACTGCTCCTTTTTATTTAATTTGGGAGGCAGGGGGAATCAGAAGGCCCTTTACAATGAACTATTATATTGCAGGAGTCAATGAACTGATTTAGGTGAATTTTTAGTTATAGGCTACATTGCATAAAAGCTTTGTCAGCTCCCAACATCAGGGGAGTCATTTAATAGCCTTTTCCTTATTTGCTAGTATGGTTAAATGAGAGAATAGTAAAATAGATACAAAGTCATCTATGTAATGTGAGAATGTGGATGACTTTGGCAAAATTTATAATTTAAAAAGCTCCAAATAACTGGTTTTTTCAAGAGATTTATTCTCATGCTCTTGGCTATACTGTGAATTACTGAAATGTTGAACAAACCTGTGAAAGACATACATTCGCTCTTTAAGATGGCCAGGAGCTAAACTTGAGTCTCCTTAACTGATTGAATTTGCACAACGTTCTCAGTGCAGGTTACTTGTAGATTCTAGTCTTCACAGGCTCCCTGGGGCTCTTAACTATAGTCACGCTGGGAGTCATGAATGTCTTTCCAATAATTCAGGGAATTCTAGAGATCTTCAAACTGTAAGGTCTATTCATACTCAACACAAGGAAAAAACCTCATTAAAATTAATGACTAATCAGGAGGCAACATAACCAAAAGCACAGTGAATAAAAGTTTTCATGGTAGGTTCAACATGGGTTTATTGCTAGAAAGATCCAGGGGATAGCTTTAGGTTTAACTTTGGCTCACCAGCCTAACTTTCTAATCATTTATTTCAGTAATAGCTAGAAGTGGGTCTGAATGTTTTCCCAGAGTTTGATACATGGTTTTGCCAGAAGAGAAGTCTTCAGGAGACTTCATTTAAATTCTGATTATTAAACTGAGGCTTTAATCGATGTTAATGCCTTATGTCAAATGTCAAGTTAGAATTTGCTAGGGCTGGGATAGGGAGTGATATTTCTAGGACTCAGACATTGAAAAATCATTCAGCCTCTAGTAACCTGGATGGTTTTCAGTGGCATGGTTAGTCAAATTCATGGTTTTTAAACTTAGAAGCAGCTTTCGGGGGAGAGGGTAGGTTGGAGCATTTATTACGTATTTTACTGTTTAATGTCTTAACCGTGGGCCTTTTAATTTGTACTTAATGAAATGATTGTGGGGCTGTGGAAAACATTTACCTATTTACCTTGGAAGTTTTAAAAGACAGTCCACTTTTTAGCATGTGTGTTGTGTCCAGCCTGTGGTTGTCTTTAACTAATAAATGTGATTTTTCTCCCCATTCTCTCTATTTATTTATTTGCGTATAGGCCTCTTACCTGGTGTGAATTCCTGAATGTGGAAAACACCTGGCAGTAGTAGTACCCAGCTTTGCAGTTAATTACTAGATTTGCTTTTCAGCAATACTGTTGCACTTTCTAGCTGGCCTTTTTTTAAACACTTGTACACACTTGTAAAGAACTATTTCCTGAACCTGGTACAGCACTTTTATTAATGATAAAAGTTCTAAGTTACATTAACTCAATTGCTAAGCTGTTACCCACGCTTAATCAGGTGGTAGTTTGGTAGTATCACAGTGAAATGCAGATTGTTCAACTGAGTGAAGCTGGTGTAAGAAATCATGGACTTTGGAATCAGACTTCCTCAGTCTGGGTATACCACTTTTCCACTTTCTGGGAGGTTCTTAAGGTGTCGACCTATTTAAATAGAAATTATAAAATCAGAAACCTGCGATGTGAACATGAGTCTCTTAAAACAGTCACAAGTCTCGTTTTGATGAACCCATAGAAGGGTCCCCTAGAAGAAATCGCACATACGTAGTTTTCTGTCTCACCAGGAGGGTTTAAGACGTGTCAGGGCCCCTTGGTTTATTTCTAGTGCATTCCCAGGTGAGGCAGATGCTGCTGGCTGAGGACTGCCCTTTGGAAGCCACTGCAATATTTAAAATGACTGTACCACTACTTGAGTCACAAAGTCCCATCGCACTCCCGGGAGCTTAAGCGTCAAGACAACGGCTCTGGGGTTAGGCCTAGGCCACCTGGCGGCAGCATTTGCCTACAGTTAAGGCCTGGGCTTAACTACCGTAAAGGACTAAAACTCTTTAAATGGGAACCAAATGACAAATCTGGTGTTATCCAAATCACCATCTATCTACACCTCAGTCTAAAAGTGTTTGAGGTGTATATAGAAGGTGATTTGGATAATACTTAAGTATTTTAATTTTCTGGGCTGCCAAACAGTGGCAGAAAGAAGTGACTCAAGTGGCTACAGCACGGTTATAAATAGGTGGGAATAACCTTTATAGGTGCTTACGAGGAAAGAAAAAGATGGATGTGAGGGGAGGGACGCGAGACGAACGGCAAGCTAGTAAAGAACCATCCTAGCCGGCGTCCGCCATGGTGTGCGGGGGAAGGCGGTCGCCGGAACGCAGAGATGCGCTTCCGGGGTGGGGCCTGCCGCCCGAAAGCACGCTCACCTCCGTTGCGCCTGCGCCCTGGCCTGCCCGGATTCTGTTAACGGTGGTGGCGGTTTGTTGGGATACGCTGAGTGATGGGAGAGCGTGCTCTTTAACTTTGGAGGGAGATGCACTCTCGTGTTGCCGTCAGGGCCTGCCATAAGGTCTGCAGGTGCCTGTTGTCTGGATTTGGGGGTCGAGTAGATGCGGGGCAGCCGGAGCTGTTGACGGAAAGGAGTAGCCCCCAAGGAGGACACCTGAGGTCGCACGCGGAGCTCGAGGGGAACGGCGAGCACCCAGAAGCCCCCGGGTCTGGAGAGGGAAGCGAGGCGCTGTTAGAGATCTGTCAGAGAAGGCATTTCCTAAGTGGAAGCAAGCAGCAGCTTAGCCGGGATTCTCTTCTGAGTGGGTGCCACCCCGGCTTTGGACCCTTGGGCGTAGAGTTGCGGAAGAACCTCGCCGCAGAATGGTGGACCTCGGTGGTGGTGTTCAGGGAGCAGGTATTCCCGGTGGACGCTCTCCACCACGAACCAGGCCCTTTGCTACCCGGGGACAGTGCCTTCAGGTTAGTTTCTGCAGAAACTCTACGCGAAATCTTGCAAGACAAAGAGCTGAGTAAGGAACAGCTAGTAGCATTTCTTGAGAACGTATTAAAAACTTCTGGGAAACTACGGGAGAACCTTCTTCACGGTATGCTTCACGATTTCATGCTTCAAAACAGGTGTGGGGTGGAAAGGCGAGTCAGTCTTGCTGGATTTTGGGGATTGCAACTGGCCCTTTATTCCCATGCAAAGGAAGTTAGCTAGTTCTCATCTTTTTGAAGTAATCAAGTATATTAACAGTGCTCTACCCTGGAGAAAACTGGTCCTTGGAATCATTGCTGTTCCTTAAAGAATCTGTCCAAAGGACCTGGAAACGCTCTCAATTTCACGGGACAACTTTTGAACACAGTGCTGTTATTTAGTGCAGTGTAGTCTAAGTGCATAAGGAACTACAAAGACATTTTGAACTTTTCTTAGATTTATTCCAAGTAGAAATGTTGAAATTATAATTCTGAAACTATTTCATGTGTATCACAGGATAAATCCAGGCCGGGCGCAGTGGCTCACGCCTGTAATCCCAGCATTTTGGAAGTCTGAGCCGGGTGGATCACCTGAGGTCAGGAGTTGGAGACCAGTCTGGCCAACATGGTGAAACCCCATCTCTACTAAAAAGACAAAAATTAGCCGGCCGTGATGGCGAACTAAATAAAAATAAAAATATTTTTATTTTTAGAAGATGCATGCTGCAGTATTGGGAGTGAACAAGTTACTTGAGAAGCTGAGGCAGGAGAATCGCTTGAACCCAGGAGCAGAGGTTGCAGTGAGCCGAGATCATGCCACTGCACTCCAGCTTGGGTGACAAGAGCAAAACTCCGTCTCAAAAAAAAAAATCAAATAGTTGGGTTAGTTGTTATTAGGAACCAAGATTTTCATTGTAAAAAAAGAGATAATATGTAAAAGAAGGTACGTATAAACTAATGTTAAATATGAATTGGTAAATTAAAATTGAATATGAGTAAATTTAAATCGAATATGGGTCTCACTCTGTCACCCAGACTTGAGTGCAGTAGTGCAGTGGTGTGATCATGGCTCACTGCAGCCTCAACCTCTGAGGCTCAAGTGAACCTCCCACCTCAGCCTCCCAAGTAGCTGGGACTACAGGCGCATGCCACCACACCCAGCTAATTTTTGTGTTTTTCGTAGAGATGAGGTTTTGCCATGTTGTCCAGGCTGGTCTTGAACTCCTGAGCTCAAGCAATCTGCCCGTCTTGGCCTTCCAAAGTGCTGGGATTACAAGTGTGAGCCACACTGCCTAGCCTTATGGTTTTTAAAAATATATTTCCTAACTTTCTTCAATGAATGTTCCTAGAAGCAATGTTCCTCCGTAGCAAGGAGCACACCTAGTGCCCAGATCTTGTCTAAGGTGAACCAGTACTGGGAGAAATGGCTGATTCCAGTTCTGGGGTTAGGGGAAGTACAAGGTGAGTTTGAAACACTTTATGGTGCTAAAAAGCAAAGAATTGCTTGAAGACTAATGGGTCATATCAAAAGGTCACAGATGCTGACTTGAGAAGGGTTGTCACTGGCTACGTCTAGGACAGATTGAACATTAAGATACATATTAATGACAATGGATCATAACACATTGATTAAAATCTAAGAGTCCATAGTATTAATCAAAAACAAATAATTGAGCCTAGAGGTCGGGAGTGTGGGGAAGAAGTAGAGAAAGCTTATGTTTTTACAGAAGCTATGGAATAAATGTAGAAGGAAAGATACGTTAGAAAATTCACCATTTCTTAATATTGCAATCCCTGATACAATTGATTCAAGCAACAGTCATCAATGGATTCTAAAATATTGGGTGAAATACTGTTGGGGAGCAGGATATTATTGGGGAGTGGATATTTACTACCTT